GTCAACCTGGCCTCCAAATTCCCCAGATCCCAATCTGAATGAGCATCTGTGGCATGTGCCATTAACCCACCTCACAACCACTGGACTAAATGAATCTGCCACCAACGCCCTGGTGCCAGGCACCACAGGACACTCCCAGAGATCCTGTGTCCATGCCTCGACAGGTCAGAGCCAAGTCCGATCCAAGGAGGCCTCACCTTGGATTAGGGGTACATCTGAGGTACCAGCACATTACAAGAATCCTTGAGCAGATTGGGACCTGGGAAATTTAGAAGCCAGGTCGACACTATGCACTGGAACAAAATAATCAAAGTTATTCACTTCACCTGTCAGTGGTTTTAATGTTTTGGCTGATCAGTGTATATCCCACATGAAACAAGCTATGATACATCACGTAAATTCATTATATCGCCCACCCTTTGCTCTGATTAAAAACTGTATACCAAAACAGGTTATATATCATGATTCATTGGGAGAAGGCAGTTCTATGTAAAATCAAATATTTAGCATCCCCATATAGCCCAAATGGTATGATCCTTTTTTCATAACATTTTCCTGCAACTGCGTTGATTTGACTGTAAGACTGACAGTCAAATTCGGCTCCTCAGATCGAATCTTTGAGTAGTTGACCGTTTGGAGTCATATTTACATTCAGTGCAAACTGAACATCTCCTATTGCTGCTGCTTCACATTCAAAGCATCTGAAACACAGGGTGGCTTTTATTGTGGAGCACTCACGAGAAATGCAATGTTACATGTGCCCGAGGTTAGATGTAGATGTAAGATGTAATATTTTTGGGCATTTTTTTGACAGTGCACATACTGCTGCCACAGTAACCACGAAAGCTACCAAATTAACCAGGATTTATAATTTTAAAAATGAAATATGACACTAAAATACAATTAACTTTTTGCAGTGAGAGGATTGATTTATTAAACAATATGATGTTTATTTATTTATGGTTAATTAACATCTGAGAGAGAGCAGCTTTCCATGCATCTCCATGCTCAAATTCACCATGTCTGTCTGTGGCATGTTGCTAAACCATGACTCAGGATTAAATCTTTCTGCAACAAACTTTCAGACTTTGAGTGACAACATAGTGTGTCAGTCTGAAGAAAAGCTCTCTGCTCTGTACTTCAGAGTGTCATAAAACAGCCTCTCTATCAGAGCTGGGCAAAAAATATATCTGACAGCGAATACATTTGAAAAAGCTCTTAGGTGTGTTTGATGTCCGCCACTTTAAACCACTCTGGAAGTGAACACCTCACTCGAAAGGTATGAAACAAAGTCAACTCTTCTTTCCTTGTGTTACTATTCAAAACACCATCAGCTCAAGCTCTTTGTAGCCAATGGTCAGCTAATTCTCTTAGAAATGTGCATTTTATATATATACTACAAAGGTAATCTCATTTACAGTAAGATTTGAATACTTTTATGCATACTGGCAACACAAAACAAGCATTTTATAGTCTGTGCTCAGTGACATAAACCAAATATGCCGCAATCATCTTGACCATACATGAGGGCTGAGACAGATAAACTGGTGAAGTGAGAGGTTCAGCTTAAGGCTAAGGTCACATTTTTTACCACAAACACCTATAACATCCAATCACTGATTGCATTACACCAATTTGAATGTCAATCTCACACTTCATAAAGCTCTCACGTGGGGCCACGACTTAGGCCCAACCTGGCAGGAACCATCCACGGGTTCATGGTAAAGTACAACAACCTCAGATTTTGATTTTGGTGACTCTCATTCCCACCACTTAGCACTCTGCTGCTAAATTCAGTCATGGAGGTCGAGGCCCAGTGAGGCCTACAAAACTACATCATCAGCAAAAGGCAGAAATGAAATCCTGAGAATACCAAACTATAATCCTCAGCTCCACCTTGAGATTTTGTCCCTAAAAACAGGTAACAAAGCTTTTACTCATACCGACTTGAAACCAAAACACCTCAGCACTCCCCAGTTAAGCAGTACCTGTCACAGCACACCTTGATGGATGCCTTGAGTCCTCCCTAAAACTCCCATGATCCTCCACTATCCCCAGGAAATTGGTGAGCGGAGGTAGGTACTGTACTACATGACGGTTTGGTTTATAGATATAGTAACTAGAAGAGAATTTAAACAACCGCCTTATTCATTAAATACATGGCCCTTCCTGTGTGATGCAGCACCACAGTTTGTTTTCCATGAGGCTTAAAGGGGACATTGTCATCATCAGATGTTCAAATTAAACGTGGCCAAAGTTTCAAACAATGAGGTAAATGTATGTAAAAGTAATTCCTATGAGCTAAAACCTCCGTCTTCAGACCGTTCTGAATACTTCCAAGCTCTTTCCGACACAAGCTGACGTCAGCTCGTGACAGATTTCAGTATACGGTTATCTGCTCCAGGCACGCTACTGCAAATGTTTACATTACATACACTGCCACATGTAGCTACTGAAAGTGTTGACATTACATAGCCAACACTGCTACTTGAAGCTACATGGTAACGTCAAAGAAACATCCGATCTTGGTTGACAATTTTGTTATTTTCACCCCAATTTTGGATCGTATTCCTGCTGGAACACACCGTGTTGTGTAGACTTTGGTTTAGAGGCTTTTACTGGTGATTTTTCACAGTAGAAAGTGCCGCAATAGTCTTTTACAGTCATTCCCCATCTTCAATGACAGGGAAGACAAGGTTTAGAAGACCTGAAAATTCTGAGCAATCACAGCAGACTGGGCTTTTTCAGGAGGGGGGCTTAAAGACAGAGACACACAAAAACACACTTTTTTTTTTTTTTTTTACCATTTAAGGATGTAAATATAGTCTGGTAGAAACCCAAAATACAAGTATGAACCTGAAAATAAGATAAAAATTGATAAAATCGACTTGTAGCTATGGACATTTCCAGGGCATTATCTATTTAAGTTATTTAGCTTGCTTTCCACACAGTTATGATGATTTGTTTGGCTGGTCAAGCTGACTTCAGGTCCAGTGGTTCATGCAGTTAATCAAAATAAATCAAAATTGTTCCAACACATTTAACAAAGAAAACAGGCCTTTACAATACTTACAACCCAATCAAAACCAAAGAGCAAACTCAAATAAAACGAACTGTCTTTTCTCAGCGTACTCCAGCTTCAAACTGTACACGCCTGTTTCTATCAACTGGCTAAAGCATCACGGAAATCATAGTCCTATCATTTTATATGGTTTACTGAGGCCACAGCTGGGTGGCAATATTCTTTAACTATTGACACAAAACAAAGCAGGCTCTGACAGAGCTTAATAGGTCCTCTGAAATAGGTCTAATGTTGTATTTCAATAAACATGTAATGATTGCCCCTGATTTTAGCAGAGGAAACCATGTGATCCACTGTTCCATTACCAGGTCCTGAATCTGAAGCTCAACAATCCACCAGAGCCTCCTTTCTGTCACACTGGCATAAGGTTTAAAGCGATAGTGCGTAACTTCTACAGGTCCGTAAATGTCCGTTTCACCCAAGCCACTACTAGAGGAGATGACACAATGCTGATTAAGCCGATCGGCTCCTCTAACATCTCGCGGTATTTTTCAATATATATCATTTTTAGTTTGCGTGTCGACCGGCAACATTCCTACGCTGCCGCACAGGAAATGCTTCCTCACAACAAGAAGGGAGGGGGAGGAAGAGCGGAGAGTGTCATAGCAAGAGGTAGAGCGCAAGTAGAAAGAGAAAGCAACATGGCGGAGAAGCGGCCGAGACATGGTTCACAAAGAAAAAGCCTGGACGTTCAGCTGAAGGTCTGTTAGCAAAGAAGGAAAGTGACCGACGGAGAAGGCAAACAAGGATTTGTATTGGCGTCACTTTTCCTCGGTGGAGAGCCCTGAAGGAAGAAATTGGGCTGAGGGCAGACACACATGTTGCCTTGCTGCTGTTGGATAAGTAAGTAACTTGGTTTATAATTATATTATGAGTAGTAAGAGTTGCTGTTACATGTACTGGACCTAGTACTTTATTATTTTCTTGGAAATGGTGCTATGAACGTAATGTAATGTTAGCAGCCTGGTGTTCGCCATGTTGTGTAGCATTGTGTACACTTTGTGAAGCGAGTGTTACTCTGTGTACGGTGTGTGGCGAGTGTTACTCTGTGTCTGTGGAAGTGCCGCCAGCTTATTAGTTGTAATAACGCATTATCCGCTGGGAGGCGACAGAAGTTACGCACTATAGCTTTAAGAAGACTAAGTGATACACTGATGATGGGAGCACATCCTCCAGTACCCTTTAAAACTGGGAACCACTGGCCCCGTCAGCCAGTCCATAGTTATTCTGCCCAATCTCTATGTGATACTAAGGACGAGTTTCACCCGACAGTATCCACAGCCTTCAGCATCCACCTCGTCCACCCCTGATACCATGCCACTTTCTGACTTTTAATGACCTCTGTTGGAGAGATGGGCAGGTGTCCTTGGGAAACAAATAAGACCCTCTCACACCAGCACATGTGAATCCAAAGTCCTGTGGATATTACAATAGCATTTCCCACCAGCATGCTGCCCCCCTTAAACACACAAGCTCTATCAGCAGACAATAAAGTTTATCAAGTGTAGCCTTTTAATTTTGTTTTGTACAAACCTCGTCTTTACTGCCCGGATGGTTGCTATCCAAATAATGAGAAGTGGGCTATTAAAGCTTCAGGTTAATGATGGTGAGTAAAATTACTAATCCGTAATGAATTTCATGCCTAATTATTATTTCTTATCGTTAAGATGATATTAGACTCAGTGTTTTCCCTCGAGCTCGGGTAGATTTGAAATGTCTGCAGTCTCATGGATCTCAGAGGTGAACTGAAACTTCACTGGTCTGAAATAACATCATGTTAAGCTGTGATACAATCTCATGAAATCCCTTTTTTCCATTTTTCTTTTATTAGCTCTACCTTCTCATTTCATTACCGCTGGCTGGGAATCAAACCTGTAACCTTAACGGCGTCGTGCTATTGAGAGACAGAACACAATACCTTGTTGACCTCCAGGATTTCTCTCCTCTCCTCGGTGACAGGGCGGCTCTGGCCGGCTGAGCGATCCTCGTGTTTAGAGCTGTCATCCTCCACAAAGGGTATCAGTTGCTGGAAGGGACAGCAAACAAAAAAATCTGGCTGTTTACTGTAAGCAAGATGACTGCAAGAGGATCACTTTCCAGAATGCTGACATATTCAACTGATTTGGATTGCATTAGGTTTATCAATTACAGTAACACAGTGTATACAGAATCTGCACTGTGAAAGTATTATAACAGTTTAACATTTGAGGCAATCAGCTCTGTTTTAAGAGCAGTCGTTTGGAATAAAGCTCTCTCACTGATGCACTTTCCTCTTGTTCCTCTCCTCTCTTATTCTGTCCATGATCCAAATACATTAAAGGCACGCTGCTGCATATTCACAATTTTCCAATATGCTCACTGAGTGCTTTTAGGTCAGAATTATGTGCGTATGGGCAATCTCAACCTATGAGTGCTATCCTATACTGAAGCTCTCCCTGTGCTGTCTCATAATCTTGTTCCCATGAAGTGGTGAAAATGGGGATTTTGTGTAAGCTCTCGAAACACAGGCTGAGTCTCGCCTGTCTCTCTTCAACGTGGAGAGAGACAGTGCAGAGACGGAGACAGAAAGCGAGTGGGAGATTAATTCATTTTTAAACGCTCTGTGTGCTTGACCTTGTCTGCTTGACATTACAGTGAGGCTGATGTGCGAGAGAGCCTTCAGGCAAGGCGACGCTCCTGAGAGCCGACAGGGTCACCAACTGCTCCTTTACGTCACACTGCCCCCTAGTGGTCACCTCGGGGAGGAGGTGAGCGGGAGGCTTGCTGCAGTCGCACATTAGTAGTGTGTGGATGTCTTGAGAACACACTGTTCCTGGTACAATGTAAAACAAGGACGTAAAGGGTATTCTACTGGGAAAATGTGTGATTGATGATAAGTTTGATGATCTTTGTAGAGCTGCTGAATGGACACACAGTGTAAATGCAGACAAATGTCTGTGCTATTGTGCAGAGTTTCCAGGAAATACATGGTATCAGTTATGTTGACATAAAGTCAATTTTATAGTTTCTCACTCTCAAAAATCCACAAACCATTTTCAGACATGTGACACCACTTTTATTGGGGTTCAACTATGCAGGATTTTCCTAAAAAAAAAAAAAACAACGTGTTGACTCATGCAACACGAAGTAATACTTCTCAATCATCACTTATGACCCGCTGGAAGTGTGAGGCAGTGTATTTTTCTGCAGAGACTCTGCCATCTGCCTGTGCCGGTCTTATTTTCTTCTTAATTTTTGTGTTCAGGACATTTATGGGTGTGTACCTCCACGGCACTCAGGTGAGGTTAGGGCTTTATAAAAAGGTAGCAACTGGGTGCCAAACCATAAGCAGCAGGCATCCAAGAGACTTAACTTTTACTTCCACTTTTGTTGGTGAGCGTGTTTACTAATGATGTGCAGGTCAGGGTTTTTTTTAAAACCCACACTAACCTGGCCCGTTAGGAGAGCCAAGCCGCCCCGCCCATTAATGAATGACCCAAACACAACTGGCAGAGAGGCGAAGAGAGGTGCACCTTTTAAATAATTTACTCAAAAATCCTGCACAGTGTACCATTAACACTGCAAAAATAAGCTGTGGTCGTTTATAACACTGGTAGCGAGGAGTTCCTGTTGCAAGGAAAAAATAACATCTCCAAAAGCTACCATCTCCAAAGTTTCCTTTCCAAAACAAAAACTGTCATACCAGACAAGATCACAAACACAGATTAGGTAGGAGACTCTCCAAACAACTAAAGGCCAATAAAAACTGCCATACAGTGAGAAAACACACCTTGCTCCAATAACGACTTGGCACAACACTAATCTAAATCATGCAAAGTTTTTTTTGGATTATTCTGCTTTTCCACACTGTTTGACCTGAGGCTGTGCAGCTGGAGTGGAGGCCCTGCGGACACTAGACAATGATTGGAGAAAGCTGCTTGGTCTGGAAGCAATGACTGACTGGTGTTTGAGTGCGACTGGAGCTGGCCAACGTCAAGACTAATATGAGAAGGAATAAAAAATCTGAAGATAGATGGAGAGAAATGCTGACAAACAGATGAAAAGAGAGGAGAGGACTAGAAGATGATGTGCGAAATGTCAGATAGCCAGAGAGGAAAAAAAGATAAGGTTGAAGTGAGCAGGGAGACGACTGGGAAAGGAGCAAGAAAGAGGTCAAAACAGAGAAAACAGAAAGCGACAGAAAGATGTAAAAATCTGGATCGCTTGCTGCACTCCTGTCAGTTTCCAGGCCGAGCTTCACGCCAAAGTGCAAACTCTAGACAGCTGGAGGGAGAAAAGACAGAAAGGACATGTGCAGGATATTATATCAGACAAACTATGAGTTTGTCTCTGGCTCAAGGAAACTTTAAGAAGGAAAAAGGGAACGTTTTTCATTTGATAATTTCAAACCGAAGCCAATGACATATTGAATTTTAAAGGTAGCGGGCTGATTTTGGCAGCATCTGGAGGGAAAATAAAATGTGCTGAGTAGGGTGGGAAACAGGGATGGAGAGTGTATTGCGTGTGTGTGTGAGTGAGTGTGCCTGTGTGAGTCATAACCCCTGCCTCTTCCACAGAAAGATGGATGTGGTTTCCTGCCTGACAGAGAAGAATGGGCTAATGAAGTTCTCCAGGTTGCCTCGCTGAGACAAAAAGGAAAAGGGTAGAAAAGACAAACGGAAAAAAAAAATAACAACAAAATAGCGGGGCGAGCGTCTGAGAGTAGAGGGAAATTAAACAGCATGGCTGAACAGTGCAGGAAATGGCAGAGAAAGAGGAACAGAGGGGAAAGTAGCAGAGAAAGAGAGTGAAACAAAGCCAATGTGAACAAATAGATTCAGAGAAAAAAGAAAAGAAAAGAAAAAAGGAAATGGAGAGTGAGCAAATATTGAGCAGTTATCAGAGTGAGAAAGAAGACGAAAGGTGGAAAAAGAGGGACAGGAGGACGGGAAAACAAACAGAAAGTGTGAGAGTTTGAGAAAAAGAGGGGAGGAAAAAGCTGCAATGGACGACAGCTGGAAAGAAAAAGAGAAAAGCGCTGATGTGTGCACTTGATCCAGCTGTTCATTAAATGGGTCTGTTGCTAATTAGGCTGCGATGAGGTCACACTGCCCGAGTCATTGATTCCACTTCCTGTTTCGGGCAGCCAATAGTGAGCAGCTGTCAGGCGGGCACCTGAATTCTGCGGGATGATAAATGGCATGCGTGCTGGGGCCAAAATCAACAACCCTCAGCCCCAGACAAACATGGTGAGCTGAGCTATTGGCTGGTCAGCACTGGACTGGGTCTCAGCCTCAAGGGGAAAATGAATAAACATTTAAATAAGGTGGAAATAAGAAGGGGGGGAAATAACTAGATGGCGTAATGACTCATTACAGCAGAGGAAAATGTCAAACTGAACCCCTCATAGGCTTTGATTTAAGGGCGGAACTGCAGACGAGAGTCATTCTGAGCAACCAGTGGATAGATCATTCGAAATGCTTCTGAGCAACTGTATTATTCAATGTGGAAAATGTACACGGTGGCAGCCATCACAAATTTGTTCCAATTTAAGACTGGTCTCCTCCCACATCCTCCTTTATCCTCAGTAGGAGTCTGGTGAGAGAGATTAGCTCCGAGCCAATCTGTAGAAATTGGGAAGGGACTGCCGCAGTCATAAATCCAATCAAACAGTGGTGGATAGCCTAGCTGTAGCCCTGCATGGAGCCTTGAACAGTATGCCCAGTGAGCCGCTGTGCGTGTGTGTGTTAGTGCAAGTGCCTTTGTGGCGTGCCACAGTGCACCACATGCATGTTTGTGTACTCATGCATGTGTACTTCTGTGTGTGTGTGTGTGTGTGTGCAGGCAGGCGGGGATGGATAGTGGCTGAGCTCAAGTGCTGTTGTTCCTGAAGGTGGATGGCGATCGTAACCAGCGGTAAAGAGACTCTGGAGACTCACCTGAAGCAACCAATGAATCTGCTGCAAGCGGAGAAAAGACAGACCTAGAGGGAGTAGGTGAGATAAGAGTCCCCTAGGGTAAAGATGTGTGTGCGTGTGTGTGTGAGCAAGGGGTGTGTGTGGCAGTAACAATGGCCTACTTCCTTTAAACTAACAGCTTCCTAATTTAGCAGGCAGTTTGTGTGAAAAGCTGGGCTATAAGAGGCGGAGGCTGGAAGCACACACACAAAAAATAAAATCTTGACAACTAAACGGCACAAGTTGATGCATCTGGAAGGATCAATCAATCATGCAATTAAAATTGTAGTTTCAACTACATCATGTAATTGCAGAAGTAGATGTAGCGCATATGAATTTTACGCATAACTTTATTTGAGTTTGAGTCACGTACGATAACATCTCAGTAGCAACCAAGAATATAATAATCAACAGATAAACATAAAACCTCAGGACATGATCTTCTAAATGGGTCAAAAATAAAGTATTGTTAATGCAATTACCTCCATATAACAGTCTCCTCTGCCTGCCTGTGATTGTTCTCACTGAGCCTGAACCGTCTTTACTGTCAGGTTTACGTTTTATTTACTGACTCTAGGCCCTATTTAAAGGAAGTGCATGGCGCAAGTGCATTTAGGGTGTGTCTAACTCCACTTTTGTTAGTTAAATGGTGCATAATCTGGGTGAAAAGTAAAGCGCAAGGAGTACAGAGGTTCTATTTAGTCCTTTAATTAACCATAGGTGTGTTTTGGGCGTAATATGAATCACATAACATGTTTTATTTCACTCACAAGCAGCCCATCTGCACGTCCCTGTGGGTGTAACAAGTAGCGTGTATGCGAGTCGTGAACCCACCTATAGGCGTATCTTACTATCTGAATAATGCGCCCTTTAAATAGCAGGAAAATACTCAGCCATTTACTTTAGACCAGGTTTTTGCTGGTCAATGGCACAATTGCTTTTTGCTGCCTCCAAATAACCATGCACCAGACTACACCGCATTTTAAGACCATTACGTCCATGGGTGCACAGATGGGTATAAGTGCTACTTACATATTGTGGGTGCTGGCCAACAGCACTGACAGCACGAAGATGCCAGTTGTAAGGTAAGTCTGTTGTTGTTACCACCGCCGCCTCGGAAGTTATGATTTTGATTTGGTTTCTTTATTTGTTCGTTTGTCAGCAGGATTACCAAAAAAACTACTGGCCTGATTTTCATGAAACTTAGTCCAAGGGTGCATCATGAACCCATTAGATTTTGGAGCGGATCCAAATCACAGGGCGGATACACAAAGTATTTTTCACTTTCATCTATATTACATAGGGCATTTGGCCTTGGCGGAGGTCTGCGGTCCTCAAGTGCCCTTCTAGTTTTGTTTTTTATTATTCTGCTAAACTGCTGACAGAACATTACTGCAGAAGAGTGTGTATGCTCAGCTGACCTACCCTGTTTAAATAAAGGTAAAATAAATAAAAGAGAATTACAGTAAGCTATTTTAAAGTATGTCAAGTGATGATGTAATAAAATTGTAAATGTATATGTAAAAATAAAAAGTGGTCAATATCATTAAAAAAACATTCAGTTTTACGTAATAATCTAAATATGCTGATGAAATATTCTTAATTTTGTTACATGATGATTTCAATCCATTTCATGGGACATTTCTACTCTACTGTAAAAAGCTGCTACTTTTTAAGTTGCTACACTTCTTGTATTCGCACACATGAATGAGTAAATTAGTGAAGACTGTTTCCGTTAATTTGTGCTGAATGTACGCGATCCTCTTTACCACATGACTTCAGATTAATACTATGATACCCTTTTACATGCTAAATGCTGTTGGTGTGGTGGTCTGAGGTTAAGTGTTGAGTCCAGATCAACATTTTAGGAAGGGGTGATTTTTCCTGCTTAGGTTTTGGAATCAAAACTCATTGATCTTCATTTGTATGCAGCATCCTCAGACACTTACTTAATGGGGTTTATGTGACATAAACATGGTGCCAGTGCTTCACTAGATAAGTTTTACTTGATGAAGATGCAAAGGTCTACACACACCTGCAGTGTCTGACACACATCAAAACACGTGCACCAATTGTTTTCTATGAACGCCCTCAAACTGGTGGCGACCAGCGATTATTTGTCAGGATACACCATTGTCCTATTTTGTCCCAGATCAGCTACTGTACCCTGACTGCTTCTTCTGTCTGTATGGCATGTCCAGTGTGCAACATAGCCAATGTACTGTGGACTCAAGAACCAAAACATTATTACTGTGAGTAAAAGTTACTCACTGACAGTGAGCGTGATTCGTTGACTCTCAGCTGTCAGTTAGACTTTATAGTGTCAGTGTCACCATGTCTCACCTCTGGAGGTATGGGGTCCATCCCCGCACAGTTTTCATTGCATTTGTCGTAGACGAGGCGCAGCTTTCGGAACAGCACAGAAAGCATCCGCAAGTGCTCCTGGAGTTTTCCCAGCCTGTCCTGGTGGGTGTTGGGGTGGTAAGTGACTCCATTGGGCAGCTGAGGAGCACCAGAGGAAGCATTTTGTTAAGCAAAGTACAACCCAACAATTTGGCTAGTGCTAATAAAAAGAAACAGCCATTGATCCCCACTAACTGCACTGTAAACCCTTTGTTGTTCCCTAACTGGTAATAGTTGATTAGAGGCCTTACTAATGCACAGCACTTTCATTTGAATGAAGTGATAGTTTCCTTTCTACTTAGGAATGAGCACAACCTAGCTGTAGAGAAACCTTAAAAATGTGTCTGTGCTCATGCAACAATATGGTGACTAGTCTTAATAATATATAATAAACTCCCAGTTTAAGCTAGCAAAACAAAACCTCAGCTACATCAAAGGTTAACTGCTTCAGCTGCTGAACTTTGAATGTTTTCCCTCACTCTCTTACTGAGGCGGCATCACTGGCTTTTAACTACAATGGATGTTAAAGTGTAACAAGACATGTTTTTACTGAGAAAATCGACAAGCCTCTGGGGCAGCACTGTCTGATTATAAACATCCTACATAACATGAAACAAGCCTGCCTTCAGGGCAGGCAAAGTGAAGAGAGAGACACAGAGAAACAGGGGGGAGACAGACAGACCGAGGGAGAGAGGCAGGGAAGGCAAGATAAATGAAGAATTTTTATGAGTATAAAAACAGCCTGTGATCTAAAAAACAAGTCACAACAATGCTGTTTGTGCATTCTGTGGCTGAGGCGCGCTTGTTTGGCCCGTCTCTGGCTGTGATTTTAACAAGGTGCAAGAGAAGCATCTCAGAGAAGCAGGCAGACATCCATGATAAACTCATGCTGACCTCGTCTTCAGGACACCTTCAGAGCTTAACTACATGTGACTTGCAAAACAAACTGATATATACTCCTCATATCCTGAATATAAGCTTAAGGAATCCACTGGCTTAACTTTGAAAGTAATTCAACAACTTTCCACCATCACTTGATTGCACTAATTTACCTTGTAAAAAGTAAAAAACATACTATCAGAATGACTCGTAAGTTGCCTGGCATCACCAGACCAATTTGCAGATGTGAGTCAGTCCTGAAACCTCTCGATTCATTTTCAATTTCCAAGTGGCCGTAGACCAAAATGCCTCTGGACGCAACTTGATAAACCTACAACCAGTCCTAGCAACGAAACATGTGACATAGCACTGAGCGATGAGCCAATGTACACATACTACAGTGTGCAGAGCATGGATGTATAAAGACAAATGGATACACTGTTGGAGGCCGGGCCCCTTCATTTCAATTAAAGTTGCTCACTGACTTATGAGGACAAAAAAGTTCAACTACCACATATAAAACTACCAGAATGATTGGCACTGCTTTGTCACTCCAGTTTAGCACTCTACTAACCTAAATGGGGGTAAAATGATTCAGTCATTGGGTTCTTCTAGACTTTCCAAATGTTATTGAACTGAAGAGACCAAATTGAAATTTCGGAGAAGAACTGGCAAACAGTCCTTCAACAGAAAGGTTGTTTCTGAAAATACCTCAGCAGTGCTCCTCTTCAGTAAGCTTGGTTTATGCTCACCATAGTGTCCCCAGGTTGAGGGTGCACGACCCAAATATTATGTCATCATGTATTTTGCATAAAGTGCAAAGGCTACAAAGGTTGTCAGTCAAGATAAGCAGCTGTCCTTGGAAATCTACTCTGAACAGGAGGGAGACCAAAGTACCTGCCAGAGCAAATTAAACACGAGCTTGCAGATTCGTCTGGTTCCCAGGCTAACTCCTAAAGACTGTACATCAATAATATTCCAAAGTGTGTGTTGCAGTCTTGAACAAGACATTTAGTTTCACCAACTACATTTCACTAAATGTAGAACCAAAGTTAGTCAGTGGCCTTGATCATTGCTCCTTACATTCTGACAACAAAAAGAGAAAGTAGTGCCCCTTCCAACACAGAAAAATCAATGGAAACCTAAGCGAGCAAAACCTTTGTTAGCTAGTGATGGTATTGTTATCATAAACACTCAAAACAGATGACATTACTTTATCACTGGTAGGTAGATGACACACATTTATAAAATTCAGCCAAAAACTTTGATTCTAACAATCTGGCCACATTGAATAGCTGCCTGGTACAGAATATGTAAGCAATTGGATATTGCTGTTCCACTCCTAAACAAAAGAGGTGCTATTCTTCAGCATCCCCTCAGAATCCAAATCATCTTAATTGGCCAGGTATGTGTACGTATATGAGGAATTTGACGCATTACTCCCATGTATTCACACAGAAATGCACACACACAAATGCAACCACTGCTAACATCAAATGTTCTCATAAGATTTTTGGTGTTATTTGTGACAGTGGCTATGTTTTAACCACTTCAGGAGTATACAAGATTCAATTTTGTCAATTTTGTCCTTTCTACTGAGAAAGGATGCTCAAGCAATTTTAAAAGGACCCTGAGCAGAATTCTGCTGACTAACACCACATTTTTCTCTTAAATTACCCACAATTTAAACCTCTATGCACTTGTTGCAAATTTATTTCTCAATACATATAGAGCCTTACACAATCTAGACTCTCTACTAATCCCAACTGCTTGTTTTCTCCACTGGTGTAAACTTTTGAGGCATTCTTGAGTTAAAGTTAAAAATCAAGGGTTGATGAAGCTTTTGGCTGTTTGACTGTACTGATGTCTCAGCTTTGGAACAGTTTTCCATTAAGTATTCAATCTGCTGGCACTGACGTGTTTTTAAATCCTGCATCAAAACACAATATAAAAGAACTGTCTTCCTGAATGACAGCTGTTTTGTTATTTGCATAATAGCACTCTGTTGTGTTACCATCAGACCTATTATTACCATTTTAACATATTCTTTTACAGTCTTTTGGCATTGCATGATTATATTCTGCTATTTTATCTTTTGTACAGATCTGTTTAATTATGCTGTATCAAGTTGCACTTTTTACTGCTCTCATACTATTGTTCTTATGGTATTAAGTCTCTTGTTAGGGTGTTGCTGTTATGGGTAAAAAAAAATCTGCCAAAAGTCGGAAAGAAAGAAAGAGAGGCAAACAGAACGTGAAGGAGGACTGTGAACATTTTTAATAGACACGTAGGCAGAGAGACAAACCTGCATGTTCCTGAGGAGCTGAAAGATCTCCATGGTCCTGAGGACAATGTCTTGGACCGTCTCCTGGCCGATGCGACACAGCGAGGCCGTGTTGACATCACGTGCTGCTTGGGCCTGCTGCTGCTGCTGCTGCTGCTGCTGCTGCTGTGGAGGCGGAGGCTGCCCGCCAAAAGGCGACACTAGCGGAGGGGTTGTCATGGAGACAGCAGACGAAGATGCTGGTGGAGGAGGTCTAGGTCCAGGTGAGGTTACCTGTCAGGCTATTCCACACCGGGCACCCCCTTACATGCCTACAGGAAGTGTTTTACAGGAGCAGGAGAGGAAATGTCAATGAGGAGGAAAAAAGAAGGACAAGTTTATGGAAGTCACAGCGTTTCTTCTGACATGAGTCTCTTAATAGAAATGGTAGTCATATTAAAGGTCCAGTGTGTGGTATTTAGGAGGCTATATTGGCAGACATGGAATATGGTACATGTGTTTTTTAATGTATAATGACCAAAAACCTTACCTTACCTTAGATTGAGCTGTTTATATCTACATAAGGAGTGGGTACTTGTTAATGGAAATTGCCATGTTGCATCACCATGTTTTTACAGAAGCCCAAAATGGACAAACACTGGCTCTAAACAGGGCCAACTGCAATTTCACATCAGTTACTGTAGTTAGCAGTCCCTAAGCGACAAGCGACATTGTAAAAACACTGATTTTTTTTTTTTTTTACGTGAAAGACCTTCATTCAGTGTTTTTACTAGTTTAAATCACCTGGTCCATTTTTTGTTTGTTTGTTTTTCGGCACACAATAGCAGGCACCTGGCTTGCAGCTTAGGAGAGGCACTGATTTCTAACGTGAAACTGTTTTATTCAGTGTTTTTACCAGTGTTAATGACATGATCTGTTTGGTTTGAAGAGGAAGAGACCTTTGCAAGTAAATCAGAATTCAAACATAGAAGTTTTAGGTGGTTGCAATCAACATTTCTCACCACGTAAATCCTACACACTGGACCTTTAATGTGAAAGAATAATGGCATAACATTTAGCTCGTATCATCTGCCAAAGTCAAGTTTATTTATCGTCATTGCCACAACATTTGCAAAAAAGCAGTCGTTGGTTATGAAAATCCTAAATCTCAGGCTCCATTTAACACTTCTCAAATAAACAAGTAAGAAAAGGAGGTAGAAATGAGAATGTAAGACACAGAATAGTGCAGAAGTTCAACATAGGGTTAAAATATGGCATATATAAAATACAAAATACTATATATTTATGGTTGACAAGTGTACAGGAATTGCAAAATGAATAAACTGTAATATAAACAGGAATGCAGTATACAAAGACGTAAGTCAGCCACAGTAGTTTGGTTAATAGAGTACAACACCTTTTATACACTCCTGCAGTGCAGCACAGCTAAAAGCTTCACAGCTGTCACAAATCAACTGAACAGAAGCGCTGTCTAGCTAAACGCTGTCAAAGTCTTTGAGCTAACGTTGTAGCCTGTCATATAAGTTGTATACCGGGGTTTCAGATACAGTTTAACGTGCCTTTACATCAGTACAGGTCCGTTAGGTGCTGTCCAGGACTTTATATACCACACCCAAAAGCATTCAGCCTGATAACGGGTTAATTAGCAAACATGTAAAAGTGAAGCGGCTGACACCAAAGCTAAGTGGACAGTCACACCACACACACACGACACTTCAGCTTTTCTCCATTCGTTTGTATGTGTCGCTTAGTTATTCCGGCACGACGTGAGGCTTTACACCACAGTGAGTGTTCATATTTATTAAATAGCACAGTAGATAATGTGTAATGTTACCTGTGTGGTGATAATTTATCTGTTTTGTTGACATGTCAAGTTCCCTGCTCTGCTCCTAGGATATCAGCTACCGCAACTATCGCGAGACTTCCCCCTGAAACTGCGACTGATTACGGTAAATGATGAAGTAGGAGTGCAAGTCACAAATGTAGTTTTTGGTCATTAATATGCTTTTTTTGGACCGAAGAAGATATTATAATCAATACGGACTGAACTGTCATAATCCTCAAGATTAAAATTAATCTGTATTTAACTTTGAAATTGCCCACTTCCCTCCAAATGACGCTATTAATGAAAATATTACGGTAAAGCAAAGCGCGCTACAAATTTGTTCTGGCTATTTAGGGTAACAGCGCCATATGCTGGTCGGCTCTTATATAACAGTCCAGTCTTACACACCTGACTTCATCAGCCCTCAGGCCAATTTACGCCACATGATTGCTTCTCATGGGTCATTATAACTTTTTTTTAGTGAGCCTAATTCAAATTCATCCCATAAATGGATATGTTGTCTACTTGGTGTTAAATCCTTCAGTGCATCCATCCATCCATCCATCCATCCATCCAGCTATTTATTGCTTATACTGTACAGCTGTGCTTGGATTATTTTGTGAGCCATCAGAATTCAAATTAAATTTGAAATACAAGAGGTGTCAGAAAATGACTGCACAAGGCTGCTTCCTCAGCATGCACTCTGCCATGCAGCAGAATTACTGCTCTAACTTACAGGGACTGGAAATAAGAGCTTTATTGAAAAAAGAAAGGCTTTGCCTTCAGGCTTGAGTGGGGCTGAAAAAGTAGATTAGGATGCCTATTACTTAATTTACATTATTCATTCAAATTTGGGGTTACAGGCTGGATTTCAATTTCCTTTTATCTGGAACACATTTTGTGTAATAATAACCTGTAGTCATTTCTTTTCACTTATTCTCCCTCTCTAAAAAACATCCTGTCTGCAACATGCAACACTGATGTGGAAAAAAAAAAAAAACGTGTCAAGTTCACTTGACTGCCCACAACTTCCTAATTGCAGAAGAAGTGCTGGTTAGCTTGCCAGGATGAATGAGCGTTACTCTCACAATCCCCATCTGCCTTACAGCCAGACCAACTGAGGCATGCCATTTGGAAATGAGTTTCTCCATAATCATCCAGCCTGTCTTGGTGTGTTTAATTGGGACGGGAGAGTAGTGATGGTGAGTGGGTGGTGGCAGGTAGTGAGATGGATATCCCTGCTCTGTGGCTGAATTATACATTTGACATTAAGAAAGAATTTAAACAATAACCAAGTTCATTCACACGTCATATTCATGGAAAAGGCTGGAAAATATGTGTGTGTGTGTGTGTGTGTGTGTGTTCATCATGGAGGCAGGGCTGAGAAGGCATCGGTCTACAGGCCCTTAGCTACTTGAGAGGCCATCTATCATCACTGATCAAAGTGAATAGAGGAACAACAGAATGTATTGATCACATCAAGGCAAGCTGATGGAAAATATATTGACTTTTTGTGGTAATGTAATCGAGCCTCATTGAGACAAAACATTCCTGTAAATTCAAAGTTCTAAGTCAAAGACCTTCATTCATCACAAGGCAATGAATCTGATTACCTCTGTGTGTCTCGTGCTGCATACTCTACATCATGTGCTGTTGCGTGTCACTGACACCTCTTGCTTAAAAAAAAAACCCATCAGGCAGCAAAGATTGCCTTGAAACTGACAGCACTGCATCTTCTCATCAATGCTGCATGGGTGTGAACCTTGAACATGAGAGTGTGAGACAGCAAGAATGAGACAGGGAGAGACAGAAGGCTGAAGTGTAAAAGCAGAGAGGAAAACTAGGAAAAAAGTTGGAGAGCAAACAGTAACAAAAAACCTGTTAAAAAAAAAACAGACAGAGAACACCCCTTGTGAGGAAACACAAACCATGTAATAATTATTAGCTGAGGGGGTATCAGGACTAAAACGGATTATCTAGCCACCTAGTGCATTACTCATGCTTTAATTAAATACGCACTGATCTGGTCCCTCCAGGGCTAAGTTCAGATGGAGAGAGAAGGGTGTACAATGGTCTGCTCTGAAGGCAGCGGCATAGTGCATACTAGGTGGGAGGGCAGGCTAAGTGTTAGTGTGCGTAAGTATTATGTAAATACCATATGTTCATGCACCTTGCATGGTAGCTTGACGACAATGGTGTGTGCGTTGGACTATTAATCACTTGTATAGTACATAAACGTGTGTATAAATTAATTCTATAGTTATTCTCAATATGTGATTTGTACTGGGGAGGGAGGGAGAAGTATACTTTGGTAACTAAAGCTACTTAGAAAATGTAGTTCTATGTACTTTGTAATAAAAATAATCAAACTGACAATGTATATGAGATATGAAACTATAACAAAGTATAATACAACCTAGAATTGTCGCCTCATGGTTGTATGCTTCTGTGAACCAGTCAAGTTGCAGTAATAGTTTACATCCATGTCTGTGAAAACATGGATGCTTCAGACACATCTTCAACCTGGCAGCACAGAAGATCTATACAATCAGCACAGTTTCAAGATTAGTGTCACCAGGTCAAATGTCTCCCCTTCTCTTCCTGAGATAAAATGTTGCGTAATGGCCAGAGAAGTGTTTTTTGCAGAACATTGTGATGTCACAGTAAAGTTGACCTTTGACCTTTTCCATATACAATGTTATCACTTGATCATTTTATTTTTTATTAGACATTTGTGTGAAATTTTGTCTCGATTAGCGTATGAATTCTTGAGTTATGGCCAAAAATGTGTTTTGTGAGGTCACAGTGACCTTTGACCACCAAATTCCAATCAGTCCTGTCACAAACTGGCTCAGTGAATGTGACAAGTAGGGAGTCCACACAAAAGACTTAGTTAAAACAAACATAATTTATTAAACTAAGATTAACTTAAAGAAACAATGGAGTTTGTAGGTCAGCAAAGTCAGTCATGAAAGCCATGCATGGATGAGTATCAGGTGTGCTGTGGAAGTGCTGAAGGTGCAAAACAAAAAGCAATGATGCCAGGTGGACGTCTGCTGCAGGAAGGAGAGAGCGAGTGAAAACATGAGGCAGCTGTTATAGCCTGGAAGACCCAGGTGAGTTTAATCAAGGCAACGACCCTCCCATGTTAGCCAAATGCCCGATGAGGCTGGCAGGAACATCCTCCAGGACAGTGGGAGGGGCAACACAGTCCAAGTGAACGTTTGTGCCAAATTTGAAGAAAGTCCTTCAAGGTCTTCTAGAGATATCATGTTCATGAGAATGAGATGGATGCAAGGCCACAATGACCTCTGACCATCAAATTCTAATCAGTTTATTCTTAGGTACAAGTAAACGTTTTGCCAAATTTGAAGAAATTCCCTCGAGGCATTCTTGGATATAGTGTTCATGAGAATGGAACAGAAGGACAGCGGGATGGAACCATGAACCGTGGCATAACAATTATCAAATTGGCAATGTGCATGTGATATGAAATTATAGCAAAGAAGGCTATAATTCAAAAAGCCACATGCCATTACAAAATGTTGATTAATTGTTTTTACTGCAAAAAGGACCTACTTGTTTACAGGCCATACACAAACCCTTAAATAAACCTTTAATTTACCCAGTTAGATGTCAAAAATGCCAGATCTATGCATGCTAAATTACTCTTTATTCAAATGGAGTGTGATGGGTTTGACAGTTGAAATTTCAGGCACTTTCTGGAAAAAAAAGGATCTTACTCAATAAAAAAGGTCTAAAAAGGTCAAACATGCCCCAGGTGGTTACGTTGCAGCCTGTTTCGATCCGGCCTTGCAGCACTCTCTCCTAATACTGGACCAGTTTCAAAAATTGTCTCCATTAGTCTCCATTAGTCACAAAATCATGGGAAAATAGGGTCCAGTTGAAAAATACTTAAATTACCCTTTAAGTACAATTGAGAGAAAATTCACTTATTTACAATCCACCACTGCTAAAATGTAGATATTTTCAAAATAAAAGACTTAAAGTAAGTGGGCTCCAGCCAGCTGTCAGTTGTTATTAATGACGCCCTTGACTGGATACTGTAGCTCAGTACACCCAGAGCTCTTCCTGCAGAAAACAGCCGGGGGAGAAGAAGGTCAAACTCAAACGAGCCGTAAACACTTCAGTGTCAGTAACATGTCAGAGGCCCCTGGTACCTCAAACTGGCCACACAGGTACATTTAAAAAAAAAAGAAAAAATCAAACAAACTGCCTCAAGGTCAAGGAGGTGGGGGACTCTTAATGGGGATCAACTTGCCCCTCAAGACAATGGATCCATTTGTGAGCTTGTTGCCCAGCAACAAGGAGCTGGTGTGGGCAGTGAGGGGTTAAACTGATACAGTGCTTCATCATGAAGGATTTTTATGACACTGTAAATCAGACTTTGAAAGTGAGACTCATAGGACAGAGTATTTGAAAAAGGGAATATTTTATTGAATAATTCATTTCACCTTACAACTGTACAAAAGGCAGTGAAAAGACATTTGTATTAAAATATACCTTTTGTTGTCAACATACAGTGCTTCTGAGGTTGCTGGTGTAAAAGTCAATGCATAGAAAGATTTAATAATCTATATTCACACACCAGACTGTGGCTCTATCGTATGACTTAGGTTGATAATGCTCAAACAAACAATACTTCTGCATCGGCCCGAATGTTTCACATACAGTGCCATGGTACACAGTAAAATGTACATTTAAGATAAACATAACATTAACAGTTACCCAGTCATATAACCGGTATAGATTCATAAAGGATGACCATTTAGTTTATACAGTACATTGTATTCCTGCTTCAACATGAATATATTCACAAGCAAAGACAATTCAGGAGCATTTTCCTTGTTTAAAATTAAAACCACACACAGGAAGAGGAACTTTTCTTCTAAAATCATTCAAATCATGAGCAGCTTGATTTCATTCACCACATGCTCATTCTTAATTCAGTATAAATATTTCTTTGGGAGTGTCATCACAAAAGACACCAAAGGCACAGTCATATGACTTTGGCATTAATGTCACAGTAAAAACTTAAGACCTCTGGATCCAAAGAGCAGTACAGAACAACTAAATATTGTTTTCAGCAGAGGTT